GCGCTGTGCCGGCGGCGTGAAGGAAGGAGAGCCGAGAGCTGGGTGCGGGGGACGAGACCAGCGCTGCACCGAACTCTGCACCCAGACCTCGCTTAACCCAGATCCTTGGGAGCCCCGTGAGTGGCAGTAGCCTAGAGTTCTTATGTTGCAAACGAGACAAGTTTGCGGAGGCTAAATGGCTTTTTCTGAGTCCACTGGTGCCTCGAGGGCAGCTGAGAGCCTCGAGGGCGGAACTCAGCTTTGACTAATTCCAAACGAAATCACATCCAGATTTGCATAAGGGAGCCAGCTGCGGCCTCCGTCCCTGGGGTGGCCCGGACGGAGGGGAGGCCGGCGTTCCACACCCGGGAAGGACACTGCAGCTGCCCGCGTGCGGCTCACACCTGCGGCCCCCGCGCTGCACGGCCCAGGGCTGCTCCTGGGTGCCACGGCATGCTGCCTGTGCCCCCACGGTACCGACCGGAGCTGCCAGACTCGGGGTCCGGTCAGCCTCACACACACACACACACACACACACACACACACACTGCTGATGCAGCCGAAGTGCAGCATTGTCTGTCCTCACACTGAGAGAGATCTGGGCTTCTGAAACCACCCGGAAACTTCCATCACCCCCCATTCTTTCGTACAGCAACAGCGTTTTCAGCTTTTCTCCGGCTGTCCCAGCTAGAGCGGGGTGCGGCACTGGGGTCACGTATGGTGTGATCTTTAGTGCGTTAAGGGCCGGGCACCGGCTGGGGCTCTGTCCTCCATGGCCCAGCCAGGCCCCCGAGATCCTTCCTCCTTGCTGACCGGGAAAGGGGAGAGTTCGAGCATCCCTTTATTTTCAGCGTGAGGCGTTTTCCCATCGAGCGGCACACAGAGTCTTCTTGTGACTCCATCTTTCCGGTGGCTTAATTTTATCACTACTAATCCTGTCCAGCCGGTTCTTTTCCCTCCGTCCCAGGATGCAGTTTTCATAAAACAGCCTGCGGATGTAGGTTCGCTTCCTACTCTTCATTTTGTTTCTCTTACGCGCTACGTTGGGACGTTCTGTCGTTTTGTATCTCTCTCCCCCACCGACGGCTGCCTCTGCCCCTCTGCAGTTCAGTCATGTGCCTACGTATCTAGTGCCGGCAAGGAAGACACCAACCCTTCAGACACGGGTGTGTCTCACCAGAAACGTGGCTACGATTGTAGATGTATACTTGGCTTGGGAAATGTATCTTTCATGCAGACGGTCCTGGGGAAAGTGTTTAGTCGTGCGTTAGTGATGTCTGCATCCATCCTTTGCCCCTGGCGACAGTGTGGACCGACAGCCCATGACGTCCACGACCATGGGGGCATGGGGACGGGGCTGACGGGAAGTGCGTGGAACTGGACCCAGGAGTGGCGGTGACGGAGCCTCATGCAATTCCCACCTGCCAGTCTCGGGTGCTGCGTGGCGCAGTGGGCCCCCCCACCCAGGAATGCGATCCGCGACGATTTGAGTGCCGGAAGTTGCCTCTTTGCTGGTTCCTCTGGGTGTTGTCTTTATATCAGAACCATCACGGTAACAGCTGAGGGTGTGGCCCTTCATTCACTCAGCAGACACTCCTATAGCCCCGATGACAGGCCGGTCACGCTTGGGCACTAGGCCTGGAGACGAGACAGGACAAGTTAACGTTCTCTGTTTGACATTCGGTCCTGGCCATGAGAGTAGAGGGTGATCCTCCTCCTCCTCCTCCTCCTCCTAACATACACAACTATGAACGGCACAAAATTAGGGGGCAAAACAGTGTCTGTGCATTGGAAAACTGGCCGCGCCTACTGGGGACCCCCGAACAAAGGAGAATTCCAGAGCCCAGCCGGCCCCTGAGCTTTCTGCCCGGAGGTTATTGCTGGACTCCAGCGCCGGGAGGGAAACCCCAGCCTCTTTGTCTTGCCGAGTTAAGAAGACGTCTGATTTTCTAAGGGAAAAATTGTGGCTACAATTTACGAGCCAGAGGACGACAGAGGAGGAAGCTAACTAACTGGACAGGACTTGAGAAAGGCGTAGAGCTCCCCTGGGGCTTGGGTTCATTGTTGATCTTTATAGGTGCGGAGAGTAAACCACCACAGGGCAGGAGGAAATAAAGTTCCAAGCAAAGAACAATTCCAGGAGCGTCTGCAAGGAAGGATTTCCAAGGCTGATGAACGGCCAGGAATCATTTAAGTTTCTTTGAGCCATGAGACATTAAGTAGGGACTCTAATTAGCTCGGCAATAATGGCCATTGAAGAGAAGCCTGTAAAATGTCTTTAAAACAAACCTTGAAAGAATCTAATTAATCCACAAGTAATTAACTGCCTGTCATAAAAGCCCAACATTTTCTGAAGGGATACAAAAAGACTTCAGGATTCAATAAGAAAAAAATCCAGAATCTCTGGTGCTTGGTGTTTTTTTTTAAATCACTGCATACATGAAGAAGCAGGGAGTATGTGACCCCTAATGTGGATAAAAATCGGTCAGTACAAGCAAACCCACAAATAACTGAAATAACAGGATCAGCAGAAAATACATGAAAACTTCTAATACATGTACCGTATGTCCCAAATGCGCAATGACATAAAATCACGAGCACGTGAAAAAAGAAATTGAAGGTTGTGAAGTACCCAAGTAAAATTTCTAGAGGTGAAAAATAAAATATAAAAATTTTAAACTCAAGATTAATAGCAGATTCGACACCACAGAAGAAAAAAAAAACTTTAATGAATAGCAGTACTAACTATCCAAAATAAAAGCACAGGAAGAAAAAAATACTTAAAACAAAACAAAACAAAAAACGTGAACCAAGCCTCCGTGACTTGGGGGACAGTATAAAGTGCATGAATATACTTCTCGTTGAAGTCCCAGAAAGAGAGCAAAGGAAAGACAAGAAACACATTTGAGGAAATAACGACTGGACTTTGACCAGCTACGGCACCAGAACTCAAACCCCAGCCATAACAAGAGAGAGGAAAAAACACACACACCGAAGGAGACTGTAGTCACGTTTTGAAAGGCAGTGAAAAATACAACACTTGAATTGCAGCCACGGGAAGGGACCTGCCATCGGCAGAAGGGTGACAGGGAACTCTTCACCAGACACCGCAATCCAGAAGACGGTGGGGCGACATCTTTCAGACACTGGGAGAAAAATAAAGCTGAATTCTATAGGCGTCACAAATATCTGCCTTTAAAAAGTAGGTGCATTTATTGTGGGGAGAAGGGAAGGGAGGGAGGGAGGGAGAGAGGGAGAGAAACCTCGATGTGGGAGAGACACACGGGTCGGTGGCCTCTCACACACGCCCCCACCCCCCCACCCCCCGCGCCACGCCAAATGAAGTTGAAATAAAGAGCTTTGAAATCTTAGAGCATGCGTCGGCCGCTCCGTCCATCAGCAAGCCCGCCCTTGGAGATCTATCCTGTAAAAAACTAAGTGCACACACACACACACACACACAGCAAAGAGACGTGGGGGAGGATCCTTACTGCAACATTGTGTCGAGGAACGGCAGACTGGGAACCCACCACCGCCCGTCCTCATCCCTGACGGCTTCCCCGTTCGCTAATTCGCCCACGTGCTGGAATGTTTCTGCGCCCTCACACGGGCACCCCTGGCGCCGTGGCAGCCACTCCCGGCCACGTGCAGGGTGGCAGAAAGTGTGACTTGCCCAGTGCCTTCAGCTTTCAGCGCTTGTACTGTCAACAAGCCTCCGTCTTGTGATCCACGGGCCGCGGCGTTTTTCACACCTTTCTTGTCTGTGTGTAACTGTGCTGATTAGAATGCACACACACACACACACACACACACTCCCCAGCCCCCGGAAATAACGCTCAGCATTGTCTTACGTTTCCAAAGTGTACGTAGGCTGTGCTGTGCCTTCTGGAGAAAACACATGTGTTCCATGAGCCTCATGTGGACACAAGTTACACTGCTGTTCGCCGTGGTGCGTTCGTGCTAGCAAACCGACAGTGTATATATTCTGTAAGCTGTCTTTACACGGAAACGCACCTCAGACGAGGTTGTGTGTGGGGGTCGGCTGACAACCGTATTGTGACCAGAGGCTCGTAGGAACCGAGCCTTGAATTTGCCTCGGGAGCAGCATTCCCGAGTTCAGTGTTTTTGGAGACGCTGCCGATCACAACAGCTATGAATAGCAAGAAGTATAAGCACCCGTTAGCAGGACCGAGGGCGCAACTTCAGATGTGACCACACTCCGGAGCATGACGCGATGCTGAGCGGTCTCTGATTCCAGCAAACACCGTTGCTTTAGAGCTGCTCCCCCAAGTTACCGTCGCCTGAGAAAGAAGCCGCGGTGAGACGCGGAACAGAGGTCACGGTCAGCCGTGGTCGCACACCCGCATGTTGCTGGTGGCCGCACCCTCATTTCTGGAGCGACGCACACTCGACCCAGAACCGAAGGCTCTTTCTGCTGGGCGTGGAGGTCTGCGCGGCAGTGCCAGCACGGCAGACAAGGGGGCGCAAAGTCCGAGGGAAACGACGTTTTCGACCGGCTGATCTGTGTGAAAGCACCTGCGCCCAGGTAGTCCTCTGTACACTGACTGGTGGGGCCGTCACCCATCCTGGTGAAGAAGCCAGTCGCCAAAACGTGGGTAGAATGTGATTCAGTTTTCGGGAGAGATTCGCCTCCTTTAAACTCCGAACTATGAGAGTGAGCAAAGGAAAGTGTGTTTATAGGTAGAGAGAGATGGGGAGCCTTGTGAGCAAAGGTGATCTGTTTCTATATGTGTTTCTAATGGATTTGTTTCAATAGCTACCGTCAGGATTGTCTTGCTGAAGTTTGAAAAAAATACAAGTAAGATGGGAAGCATCAAGTTACGGGATACGATGCCGTTAGCAAAGGGTTACGGCCACTTTGAACAGACACTAGGGACTTGGCTGCCTGTTCGTCCTGTGAGCAGATTTTGGAAACGGCCCCAGCCAGCGGAGTGTCCCCACGAAACTTGGAGTTATATTCTATGTGATACGTTAAAGTCCTCTGCTCTTTTTTCTTTCAGGAGTCCTTGAGAGCCATCAGATACGAAATATCTCCAGACAAAGAATATGCGCTTTTCTCCTATAACGTGGAACCCGTGAGTACGCCGCCCTTCCGCCCAGAAAAGGGTTGTTTCTCTGTTCTGACGCGTGATCCAGTGTGTTCCCTGGAATCCTCACTCTTGGTCATCATCTGTGCACCCTGAAATAGCGGGTCCCGGAGTCATCTCCTTCTACGCCACACTGCCACCTAGAGGAGGGAGAGGGTATAAACATTCCTTGGACAGAAAAAAAAAAATGGCCTTCCTTTTTGGGTCTTGTTACAGGATTTTCTTGGCGAGATAGTGAGGCATTGTATTTCTGCAGAGAGTTATCTTAACCTGTTTTGCAGGGCGGTTGGGTTTGTTGGTTTGTTTTTTTCTTCCTCAATCACGTCATAAATTATATCCCAGGAACAAAAAAGCAGCCGGCAGCTTCCCCTGAAACCAAACGAAGGTGCTCACTCTGTCCTCCTCGTCGTCACCGTCTCCTGGAGGAGAGGTGACGCGCCGCTGTCACCATATAAATCCCTGTTTGGGGCACGTCACCTGTGCGCCTCCCGTAAAACGTCACCGACGTTTTCCATAAACTCTCGTCCTGGGCTTTCGCGGCTGCCTGCGCCTGGGTCTCTCTCCCTTCTCTTCTCTCTTTCAACCGGCTCATGCTTTAAACTTAACGTGGGCTGTTTCATCTCACACGAGCCAGACGGTGAAACGTACTGGCATCCACGCAGCAGACGGTTCGCTCACGAGAGATTAGCGACTTTGGAAATGCGCCTGAGTGGAACTTTATTTTCTGGCAAATCACACGTGGATTTTCACGGCCATTCGCCTTCCTCTGAGACGGTTCTGGTCGGACTCCCGCGGCGTCTCCGAGATGGGCAGGTGCCTGCCCTGCGGGTCAGGCTGGGCGGCCCCGGGACGGGTCAGGGAGTGAGGCCCCAGGCACCGGAGGGGCCAGGTGAGCTCCACCCCCTTCGGGAGCCCGGAGGGGCGGCAGGTATGGGGGTGCAAGCCCAATTCTAGTGTTTTTAGAACTTCTTTTAAAAGTATGTGACACCTGGATTCTCTTTATTGGAGATTTCAACTTCATTCTTCTCAATGTGGGTCTTTTCTCTAGCTTTAGTTTTCCATTGTCCAGGGGGGAGGGGGTTGTTAATATTCACTATGGAAAAGTTTTCATTCCCTCCATCCAAGTTCTTTGGGATGACTGTTCGTCTCCGCCTGATTGTGGGGAGTCAGGGGACGTGATCAGCTAAGGGGGTCCGGCCTTTGGGCGTCTCTGGGCCACGCTCAGGAGAAGTAAAGTTGTCTTGGGCCACACATTCAATACCCAAACACTAATGAAAACTGATGAGCAATAAAAGAGGTTTCGGGTAAATTTATGATTTCATGTGGGGCCGCATTCCTAGCCATCCTGGGCCGCATGCAGCCCACCGGCCTCAGAGAGAGAGGGGCCCCGGCGGACCCTCCGCGCACACAGGCCCCGGTCACCAAGGCCAGGCCGCCCTCCGCTGCCCTCGGCCACTGGAGTGTGTCCCGGCCGTGAGCGCGGCCGGGGACAGGACGCCGGCCCCGCTGTGTGTGTCCGGGAAGCCCCTGGCCGCGCCGCCTCAGCCCCCCCGAATGGCGTTTCTGAAGTCACACGCCCTCGTGTTAAGCCGAGGGTGTAAGAGGTGCCTTCTGCTAAATAATCTTCTAGAGCCTTCCGCGCTGAGGAGGCTTTGGACGCTGGAGACGCGAAAGGACGCCTCCGGCAGCTTGTCCTCGCTCAGCCTGGGGCGCGCACGGAGGGCTGGCTGGTGGGCTGGCGGGCTGGACGGTCGTCACGGTCCCCCCAGCCCGTCGTATGTCCTCCTCGACTTCAGTGTGAGAGCACATCACATACGGCGTGATGAAAAGCTGAATTTTCCTTCACAGGAAAGGGGAAGTTTCCCATTTGTAGCGTGTGTGTGTGTGTGTGTGTGTGTGTGTGTGTGTGGAGATCTCCGGGTTGTAAGACCTGCACAGGCTTGTGAAGCCGTCGCCACCAATCACCCCAGACAATCGCTTCCTGCCGCCCCCTCATGGTCAGGCCTCCCCCGAGCCCCAGGCCCCAGTGACCGCAGGTCCGTTTTCTGTCCCCATAGTCTGGCCTTTTCTAGAACGTCATGGAAATGGCGAGAAACAGCGGGCGGCCTTCCGAGAGTGGTTTCAGAAAGGAGACTATATTTTTTTACCCCTAAGGAGGGAGCCCGAGGCTCCTCTGGAACGTGGTCGCTCTCCCCGGGCACGCATTGGGGGTGCTTCTGCTACAAAACCTTCACGGTGTGTTGCCGTGTCTCCCGTGACTCCTGCTGGGGAGTCCAGGCCGCGCCCACCCCTGTGCCCCAGGGCCGCTCTCCCACCAGCCCCCTGCCTCCCTCACCTGCTCGGTGGGGGTGGGGGGGGCCCCAGGAGCCAGGGCCTGGCAGCGCTGCACGGCCTCCCTCACCTGCTCCTCGCGGGGAGCTGGCCGAGGCTCGGAGTGGACACTAAGGAGAGGATCTCACACACACACACACACACACACACCCCGCCCTGCCAGGCAGCTGTCCTCAGCTGGAATGTGGGGGGTGGGGGGCGGGCGGCGGGGGCAGGCTCTGGTCAGTAATTTTCCTGCAGCCGCATCTGCTCCCCGAGATGATAATGGGGAGCAGCTGCAGGCGGACCTGAGGTCAGGGGAGCTCCGGGCAGCGCCTGCTTCTGCTGCGGCCCAGGCCGCGTGCCCTCCTCCGGGCTCAGTCAGTGCCAGCTCTCTGTCCCCGGGGGTCCCACCGAGGACTCGGGGGGGGGGGGTCTGTCGCTGGTTAGATTGGCTCCGGGAGGTGCTGGCAGAGTCCTGACCCCAGGAAGGCCCTGCTCCTCCTGGGTCCCAGCGCCCTCCCTCCGAGGGTGGGTGACCCCGGGCAGGGGTACTTCCCTCGGGCCCCCCCCACACACCCACCCCCGGGCCCCCAGAGCCCCCAGGGAACTCCCGGTCCAGTTAATGCGCAGAATTCCAGCGAGACGCGGCCCTAGGCCCGGGGGTGGGGGGGTCTGTCCTCACCGAGACGACTCCTGCCTTGCTCGTGGGCACACGGCCATCCAGGGCCCCTCCCACCAAGGCACTCCTGGCCGCCCCCTCGGACGCGGGATGCGGGGCACGCAGATCACATTCAGCCCGAGAGACAGGCAGCTGTTCTCCCGCAGCCGCCGCCGCGTCCCCCTGGGCCTGGCCGCCTCCGGGATGTGCGCGTTCCCAGCACCGAGAGGTTTCATGCGTGACGTGCGATGGGGTCGTAATGTTCAAAAACCGCAGGCACTTTGGCTCTCCGCGTCTGCTGCGGCTTGCCTTCGCCTCGGGTTTGCTGCGGTGTGGGACAGACGGACGGACGGACAGACGCTTGCTCCACTCGCGAGCAGGAGGCTGGTTCAATGGTGATTGGTTCGTGGAGGCTCACGGAGCCATTTGTCCGTGGGAAACGGAATCCGGGCGTAGCCACCGCCCAGGTGAATCGCTTCACCGGATCTGTGTCTTACCTGTCCCCTGCGTCTGTCTGTCCCCGGGCGTGCTGGCTGCTCTGTCTGGTGTTTGTTCGGCTTTCACTGCCCGGCGGGGCGCTGGGCGGGGCGTGGGTGCCAGTTCTGCGCTGTCGGGAAGACCACTTAGGAGCTCCGATGGCCCCCGCCCTCCCTCAGCGTGCGGCGCGGCTTGTTTGCCGAGTGCATGTAGGGCAGGGGTCTCCTGACGCCCCTCGTCCCCACCTCCCTCCTCACGCGAGTCTACTTGCCGTGGGTCACAGGAGGCTGAGGGATGCGGGCAGGTGTGTGCGACCTGTGCAGACAGCTTCCCCTGGGGACAGTCCTTCCCGTTACGTCACTGCCCAGTTCTGCTGATGCAGGGTCCTTTCCTGGGAGACCCCTCTCGCCCGAGGCTGGACAGCTCTGATTGGGGCAAACTCCTTCTCTAGACCGATTTACGTCTGCTTTCTAAATGATTGATCTGAGAGAGAGCGAGAGAGGGGAGGAAACATCGACCTGTTCTACTTAGTGGTGCTCTCATTGGTTGATTCTGGCTCGTGCCGTGATCGGGGACTGAACCCGTAACCTTGGCGCATCGGGATGACACGCTAACTAACTGAGGTACCTGGCCAGGGCCCAGTCTCCTTTCTGAAACGTCCTGTCTGCTGACCCTTGTGTGGCCCGTGGGACGTCTCACCGTGGCGAGAATGCTCTGTGTCTGCGTGGCCAAGACAGTGGCGAGGAGCACCAGCAATGTGGCCGGCGTGGCCGAGAGACTCGGTCTGCAATCTCATTTCACTGCACGTGACCTGAATCTAAACAGCCGCGCGGAGCTGGTGGCTGCTGGGCGGGACACTCCAGCCGCAGAGCGACGCTGAGTGGCGTGGCTTCCCCGGGTCCCTCGACGGCCGGCAGGTGCGGGAGGGTGGCCCTCACCTCACACACCCTGAGTCTGCCCTTTGCCCGGCGGGACACGCCCCCTCAGGACAAAGGGGCAGACCCCCCACGGCTCGGCCACCCGGGCTCACCTGGCCTAGAACCTGGATCAGCGCTGACGTGGTGCACGATAGACAGAGAAGCAGCAGTCGGTAACCAAAGGAGTTTCCGTTCTTCCTGTAACGAGTGTCCCCTCTGGTCCCCTGGTCCCCCTACGTACACGGAGGTGTCCGGCCCCCTGACCAAGGGTGCCGGGGGGGGACGTGCTCAGGGGGAGGTCAGCGTCAAAGAGGGTCCTGTTCCCTTAGGCACCTCCCCCAGACCTCCAGCTCGCAGGGGTCCTCGGCTCAGTAAAGCAGGGCGTGGGGGGCAATGCCGCCAGCCCCCCAGGGACAGCTGGACTGTCTTGTTGGGCGAAAACCGTCCGTGTCCAGGGGGCGCCTCCAGCCACTACCATTCTCAGAGGGCATAGAGGGGTAGAAACGGGGCAAAAACACACGCCCCCCCCCGTGGAGCAGCACCGCCCTGGGACGGGCAGGCCCCGCAGACCAGAAGCCCACGCCAGAGGTGGAGGTTCAATTCTAGTTTTAGTGATCAAACAT